GCCTATTCATAAAAATGCTATTTAACGTCTTGATATTAAAATCAAAATTGTTTAGATTTTACTTGGCGTCACCATAAATTAAGACACCACTTGAGTATTTACGTTTGGTTATTTTTAGCCCCTTAGAAAGCCACATGATAATGTTTATAAATGAACTCATTGTATGCCAATGAATAATATAGGTATAATACAGTTGAAATTCCCAGTAATTCGCGCTCATACACACCTATCGACCTATAATTGGTGAGTGAGTCATGTATGTAATCAAAACTCCTCATATAATTATGTGCATGAAACAACCATCTAGCTATCAGAATCTGAACTACATACATATGTGCATTGCATTCGTGGTCACTGATAGTCTGAAATTATCAGCTCTATGCCAAGTAGAGGAAATTTGATTAGAAGATAGGCCTTGACTTGCAACGTCATACCGCATGTCAAATCCTGGAGAGGACAATAGGTATACAAATCGACACCAACGTTAAGTACAACTTTCAGCTTCGTTCAAATTGGGACGGAAAACGTTGTTGTTGTCCTCAGGCTCATCTAAAGGGAGGCCTAGGAAGTGTGCAACTTCCACCGGTTCTGTTCATAGGGACAGGGGCGTTAGTTGGGTGGGGCGACTCTCCGCATGCCGGGCACTCATTGGGCACATCTGCTTTCACTTGCTCAGGTACGAGTTTAGCCTGCTACAGAATCCAGAGCCAAGTTGCGCCATTGTGGTGCAGGAAAGCGTAATAAGAGCTGATATTTTCAATCGCCGCGGCACCATATATAGCAAAATAACTATGCTGCTTGATTATGCAGATTTATATCAGGGACATCAGCGTAACATTTTTCAGCTTGAAAACTAAAAGAAAGAGATCGGTGTTGCGGTTAACGAGTACAAGACAAAGTATCCCTGACAACATACATATAATAACGCTAGGCGTATTTGGACACATGCCACGGTTAGCAGATATAACTTTGAAGTAACGAAGGACTTCTTCTACCTAGAATCCATCGTAAACACCACCAATAATGTCTGTCTGGAGATAAAGCGAAGAATAACTCTTGTCAACAGGTGCTACTTTAAGTTCGGTAGGCTATTGAAAAGCAGAGCCCTCTCTGGAATACTAAAAATCACACTCTACAACCTTCAGACAAAAAAAGCAAACCAAGAAAAATTAAATAGACGACAGTCGAGTCTACGTAACCGGAACGACCCAGATTTATATCTGGTCAAGGACTGTCACTCCAGCAACACTTCCCAAAACTCTATGGTGAACGTGTATACTGTTACAACAACAACAACAAAATAGAGGTTCCACTACTATTGTTTAATTATTATATTTCGAAGCTCCCTCAACCACCAGAGGGAGTCACTATTGATCCTTATGCTGACGACTGCTCGATAATGGCGTCTGGGAATGGAATTGATGACTTGTGACCGTAGGTAAACGGTTATTTCGCCGAGCTTTCTCGCTTCACTGCAAGCAGCCTAACCCTCTCCCCTAAAAAATCCTCTGCAACCTTATTCACCACCTGGATGAAGGAAGTCAGACTGCAACTGGGTATTCACGTCGATGTTGAACCAATATCGACGGTGAATAACCCAAAAATCCTGAGAGTCACCTTCGACAGTCTGCTCTCCATCTCGGCGCACACAACCGCAA